CCCCCCTTTTTCCCCTCTCTGTAGGCACAACATGTAGGTTTACAGAATACAAAAGTGCATGTGGTCATTCATAGAGATAGGTTATGTTTGCATGACCGGCCACTGTTTACAGCGTGTATGGGCACCCTCAGCTGCAGTGGAACTACAAGTCCCATGAGGCATTGCAAGACTGACAGACAGGACTCCCAGAGGCAGAGACGTGATGGAATTTGTAGTTTCAGCCCACCAGGAGTCTAGGGAGGATGAGGGTAGCTATAGTTTATGTAAACCCGCTCCTGAGGATTGTCCAGCACTTTGATTTTTTTTTATTTTTTTTTAAACCGTTCAGTTTGCGGAGGAACTACAGATTCCAACTGAGTGACCCCATGCTAGGATCTGTTTACACCGGGGAAATATTCTTTGACTATCGGAATATTGCAGAGGTGTCCTCGGCGCTCGTGTCGGTGACGAGTGTGATTCAGAGCCATGGCTTGTAACAAATGCGGATAAAACATGCTGCAGCCGTCTGTGCCAAACACATGCAGGAGATTGGCATTTTCCAGGGGAACCAATCAGAGATCCAGCTGGTGGGCTGATCAGCTCATTGGTCCTTCCCTGAAGTTCCACAACAGCTGGATTGCCCAGGTTGCCTACTGCTGCTGTATTGCCTCCTGCTAAGACAGAATAGCTGGAATATACATATAGATATATTTATTTGTATAATGTGATCTCTCGATCTCGCATTTTGTTTAATTGTTGTAATTTTATACACGTATTTTTTTCCTTCATCCCTGTGTGTTTACTTGATGCATACTAATTATAGCTTGGGTTTTTCCTCTGCTTGCAAAGCCTCCTCACCGATTGTGTCAATTGTTAAGGCATTTTTCATCTCCGGCCTAGAAATTGCATTCTAGGAAACGAGAGCCTTCTGTGTCTCTGCACAGAGAGGTGAGCCTTTCATACTCTTTGAACGGGCCCAGTCTTCTGACAACTGGGATTTCAGTTCTCGGTGGACTTCAGTATCCAGGACAGGATCAGCCATTGGATTGCCCATTCAGTGTCCAGGGTTGCCCATTGGATCTTTTCATCTCTTGGGTGTGCTACATAGACAGGTACTGGTTTTTTTTTTCCGCTGAAGGTTCTATACAATGGCCAGGGTAGGTGCATGCCGCCGGGCAAGGTCTTTGACCGGTATAACGGGGCGCGAGTTAATGTCAGTTTTGTGTACAGTCGTGGCCAAAAGTTTTGAGAAGGGCACAAATATTAATTTTCACAAAGTCTGCTACTTCAGTGTTGTAAGATCTTCTTGTCAGATGTTACTCTGGTATAGTGAAGTATAATTACAAGCTTTTCATAAGTATCAAAGGCTTTTATTGACAATTATATGCAAAGAGTCAATATTTGCAGTGTTGACCCTTCTTATTCCAGACCTCTGCAAATCCCTCTGGCATGCTGTCAATCAACTTCTGGGCCACATCCCGACTGATGGCAGCCCATTCTTGCATAATCAATGCTTGGAGTTTGTTTGTTCACCCGCTTCTTGAAGATTGACCACAAGTAGTTCTCAATGGGATTAAGGTCTGGGGAGTCTGTAAAGTGATCCCTTAAGGGCTTGCTCACGCCAAGCGCATTCCAGGAGCAGAGCAGTTACAGACCGGATCAAAACTGCGTCCAATGGTATTTTGGGGTCTTGTTCACACAGCAGCGTTCAGTTCCAGAGCATGTAAACAAAACTCCAGCAAGCCCTATTTTACCTGCTCTGGAACGCAGTGAAAGCCCATTCTAAACTAAAAGCCCATTCTTTTACCAAAAACGGCCCGGAACGCATAAAAAATGCGGCACAAAATGCAGTATAACACACGTGCAGAAACTCATGCAGATCTGGTCTGCATTTGGTGTGAACAAGTCCTTAGATAAATATTTGATCACGGTCTCGGGTTGTCTTCGAAGGTCGTTTAAACGTGAAATCATTTTTCTTTAAGCTGCCCAGATGCAGCCTGGCTTTCACCAGCGGTGTCATGATTTGGAATTTATAGACGTTTGTTAATGAGCCGTGACGATTCTTGGCACACAGGTTCAGAGTGTAGATAGCAGATTCCTGGACAGCACCGGCTGCTTCCCTAGAGGTTTTACTTGTTAATTGTAGATCGGTTCTCAGTCTGGAAAGTCCGTTTCAGATCTAATTTTTAAAGGAGAACTATGAGATGAGTGCTTTCCACTCACCTCATAGTTCTAGCCGACCTGCGACAATGAGACTGTCACAGGTCGGCTCTGTAGATTCGGAGGGGAGCGAAACAATACCGGCGTTCGCTCCCCTCTCGTTCCTGTCACAGCTCTCTGCTCTGATCCGCCAGCGCTGACTGGCGGAACGGGAGGGGGCGGGTACAGCTGGCTCTTCCTCTAGATAGGCAGAGCCAGCTGTCAGTCACGCAGCTGGGCGGATCCCGGCACAATTGGCGGGATCCGCTTTAGCTGCGGCGTCTCGGTAATACCGCGAGCTACAGCTCGCAGTATACTGAGCCTAGGGTGACGGGAGGACGCTAGTTTGTGTCCTCCCGTTACCCTAAGGAGAACTATGGGGAAAAGCCCTGACCCCATAGTTCTCCTCCTTTTTTTAAAGAGGAAATATTTGTTATGTGATTTGTGAAATCAATAGATCAGGGCCGGACAAATCCCAGGAGCCAGGTAGCCAATGCTCCTTAACAATTACAGCTGGTGCCCAACTTTTTAGGTTTTCTTTAGTTGTCAAAGGAGCTGGCTCCTGGATTGGACCGACTGGCTGCTGAATTTCATATTCATTTGTCCACCCTGCAATAGCTACAGATCCAACATTTGTTGGGGATTTAGTCAACATGAGCTTCTCAGACTGTCTCTTGCATTTACTTTTTTTCCTTTTAAACCTGAACTCCGGCCTCCTCCACAGTTGTACCGGCTCCTCTCCTTGGCTGGAATTGCTTCCTCTGATTTCACTGCACACTGTGAGCTCCTTGCAATGTACATTAGAAGCTGCAGCAAGTCAGATAGAGCCCATCATTTCCTGGCTGGAGGATGCCTAGCACCGTCTAGCCCTTTCCTCCCCAGGCTGGCTGTCCCTGCGGCTTCTGTGACTTTTGGTTGTTGTACGTGTAGCAATCAAGAAATGTTTTGCAACTATAAAAGTACAAGACCATTTGGATTAGTTCATTAACTTTTATTAGTTAATGACTGGCAAAGATACAAGTAGCAAGAGGGATTTGTGTGTCTAGGATTATTAGACCTTTGGTAGAGAGGTGTAGGTGGTCGTTACATTGTTCATTATTTGGGTTTTAACTGTTCCCTACTCAATCCAAAATTATTCTTTAACGTTTTGGAGGAGAAGGGGCATAATTCAGGTGCCAGTCTAGAAGCTGTCTGTGATTAACCTTTTACTTTTGTGAAGAATGTGATTCAGTCTCTGGACCAGCGCCAAGGCACGAGTCAAAGGGTCTCCACAAACGGGTGACTTTGAGGCTGAGTTGCCCAATCATGGTTTCTCTCTCTGTACTGGGATGGTTCCAGTCGGGAGACATGTGCATTACACTTTAGTGGTGGACCAGCCATGAAGACGCATTTGACCTCTTGCTCTCCTAGATGATACCATAGAGCCAGATTACCCAAAACTGTCTCAGTTATAGTATAATTTAGTAATAGGATTATGTTCAAGAGGGGAAGGTCCTACAGCCACACCCATAAAGCAATATGTAGACAAAAGACGGTTCAGAAGCCAAAAGGCTAAGGGCTGGAAGTCATGGAAGGCTAATTAGGCAATTATAGATTTGCTGCTCATCTTGGGAAGCCTCAACACATATGCTGTTCCTGTGATGACTGTCAAAAGTAGGATTTGGGTTCACTTTGGGGAGATACCTACTTGTCTCTATAGACAGGAAGTGAGGGGAGATCTTCTCAGCCCTTTAAGGGTTGAGTCTGCCAACAAGCAGAAGTATTCTCTCCCTGTCAGACTTTCCCGAGTTTCTTCCCGAATCGCGTGCGTTCCTGCCCAATGGACATTTGCTAAATGATTATGTCTAAAACAAAAAATCAGCTGTGTTCTCTACCCCCCCTGTAATGAAAATGAATGTTGCTGCTGGATGGAGCTGGGAACTCAGCTGCAGACAGTGATCCCAACTACAATATTAGTTTTATGTGGACTGACCCTTTAAGTTAATGAAAATGTATTGTAACGTACATTATCTTTCTTTTTACAGGCTAATTTTTTTTTTTTTATGTTTCACTAAACCTGACCTAAACCTTTCCCATAATCCGGGCGGTTTCTGCCAGCTTTGTGTTCCGTATCATGGGTTACGTAATGCCTGCTGCCTCCACCTGAGGCAATGAACACTTTGTTCCGCTGTGGTTTCCGTGTTCTGACGCCGACAAAATATGGAAAGAACACAGAAGAGCACATGGCAGGGTGGCATGTCTTATGTACCTTTTTGAGTGTTAATGTGCACCGTCTGGAATGGTGTGTTCTAGGTTTGTGTAGGTACAGTGCAGTGTTTTTGGGTCATGTCAGGCACCTATAAAGGTTTGAATTGCATAGATATTTATAGCATGTCCTTTCTGAACCCAGTGTGATCTGAAGGCCAATCTTAACTGTTCTTTCATCATATCTAATCAGTCATATCAGCTTGTTCCTGTGTAAGGTTAAATATATATGTACGAGGGTATCCCTATTTGCTCTTTGTATACATTAGCTCTACATCATGCTTAAAGCTCAACTCCCGGCATTGCCCCCCCCTGGTGCTCCAGCAGTCCTGTTTTTTTAAATATATTTATATAAAATCTCCAATCCTTTTCCAAGGCAGCAACCTAAGAGATGATTGGCTCCACCTTCTACAGGAAACACAATGGCAGAAAAAACTGTTTCAAAACCCCTCGTCCCTCAGTTTAGCTTGTGTTTTCTACCATCCAGGACCACGTCACCCTTCTTTTGCTGACCGGTTTCCCTTGAGGTTACGGGTCCCCCTTATGGCCTTGATGTAATGCAGAGGGCTCTTTCCCCTTTTACTTCCAGCCTCTTATTCCTCTCTTCCCCAGAAGGAATACATTGATATTTCTCTCTGCCTCAAAATTAGCCATTGACCATCCACTGTCCAATTATTGACAGAACTACAATTTTGTCTTTGTATCTAATCTGCTTGATTGTAGAAGACTTAGCTGTGTGACTACAAAGTCAATATTTGCATCATGGTGCTGGCTTGAACGGAAGCGTTTGTTGTGTGACCGGAAATAGCACGTCCGTTCATATCTGTAGTGTTTTATGAAATGATGCAGTGGATGTGTAGTGTCCCATATTAAATAGAACTGTCAGCTTTTTGGTATATTCGAAGCCAAGTTAAAGTTTGCCATTAGAAGTCATTGAGCCTTTCATAAAGGGATGTGATCAAGGCTCCAGATCGATGCTCATTTTATGGCTTTGAGACCCATCGTTGTTTGTCCTGAGCCAAATAAGCTTTCAATTAGATTTGGAGCTTTCGATAAAGCTCTTAATCTGGATTTTCAACTGCTGAGTATCTCCGATATGTACATTGTATAAATTCAGCACTTCATTAGAAGAACCGGTACTGAGAAGTAGATGTGAAAAGCTGGAGAGAGACATGCTGTACAATCCATTCTTTAAGAAAAAGGCTGCTTGTCTCTGAGTTTTTGGGCAACCTCAAGACAGCCAAATGGATTGACAAGGGTCAAATGGAAGGGTTTTTGCTTTTAAAGGCAGCAAATCCAACCTGAAATGAATTGCCCATGAATATGTTCTTTTTCTGTCTAGGGATTCCAATCTATTGTTCTTTTCCAATATCTGATCTGTAGTACAGGGGTGGGCAATTGATATGGAATGCAAGAGCCAGTCTGTCCAATCTAGGAGACTGCAATGCATTGAGGAAGTACATCCTATGGCAGGGCTCAAAACTTCAGGTCCTGAGCTACTAGCCAGGCCTTAGAGTCACTAGCCACCAGTTGCCCCACCTATCCCTTACACTGCCCCGGCCTTAACTCCGGCCTTAATAATCTTATGATAATTCTTATCTTATGATAGTTGCCGCTTGTAAACGGCAGATTAGGGATTCCTGCTGCAGGAAAACGCAAGTTAAAATAAGCTCCCCCCTTATTAACCCACCACACACAAAGAATAATAAACCCCCCCTTATTAACCCCCACACACAAAATTATAATGCACTCAACCCCTTCCCCCCTGCCCCCTCACCTGTTCACGTCTTTGCAGAGAGGAGGCTGTGAGCAGGATCGATCCCTGGTTTATCTGCAGCAGACCTCACTATCACACCCAGATAGCCAGACATCGATCCTGTTCACATAAATTATTTTGGCCGGAGCTCAGAACTGTCAGAGCTCCGGCCAAAGGAAGCAAGAGCTGACATGAGCTGCTCTGCTGTCTGCATCCGACACAGATGCAGACCGTGGAGCTTCTCCCGCAAGTCAGGTAGCTGTGGGCCACCTAGTACCGGCTCGCGGGCCGGAGTTGGAGACCCAAATTTCCACTCGCCCTCACCTTATTTTTACTCGCCAAATGCGAGCAGGCGAGTGGAAATTTTGAGCCCTGTCCTATGGGCATTGTCAATAAGTAAGCTTACAAACTTCTAGATCAATATGGTTATTAGGGATGCACCAATCCTGGTTTTTCAGTATCAACTCCCAATGTTTTGCTTAGGGTACTCGCCCAAATACTCGGTATCGGCACCGATACTAGTATCTGTGCATCCCTAGATAGAACGTATATCTAGACCATAGATGCCCTTGAATACCGGAAAAGTGTTGCAAACGGTATATTGAATGTCCCCCATTATTAAGTTGCAACAACATAACGCGATAGACATTTCTTTTATCCGTTTTATGGTTTTTATTATAATACATCAACAAATATTATACGTTTTAACAGTGTGACATTCTGAACCTTGACTTGGTACTGTGAAAGCCCAGTTGTAGTTGTATATCAGTCCAATAAAATATGAAGACAATATGTTCTCGTTTTTAATCCAGCTTTGTTCTGAAACATGACCCGCATGTGTTTACCGCCTTGTTTTAGTACTCGGTGAACTTTGTGTGTCACTTCCTAGGCGGCTCACTCACATGGACTGCGGTGTGTACAACATAAGCTTGGCTCACACTCCGATGTACAGTACGTTCAGCCACTGGGTGTGTCAGCCAAGAAGCCAAGAACAAACAGGAATGTATTATCTGTACTGTATGTGCTCATGAAAAATTAATTGGCTGCAGTACAGTACAAATGACTAAATATAAACTCTAGACATTAATATGGGAACTCTTCATGATGTAATCCAGTTGGCTCCTTCTCTGTGTTTTTTTTTTTTTCCTCTCCTGATGACTCGTTGCTCTTTAAAATGCCTTGTCGCTTCTTCTCCAGCACGAGGGCCATTATTTGTCAACAAACATGATAAATAAGCACGGCTCCTCTCGCTTTCATTCTCCCACTCTTTTTCCGCTTTGCTGCCATTTTGCTTCGCTTTCATGGCGCATATGTGGTGAGGGTAAAATACAGCTATAGCATTCGGCCTACTTGCGGTGTTCAACATTTCTGCAAATGAATGCTCTACGATTACTAAATAAAAAAATCATTGAAAAACTGGATGCAGCTCATTTCCTTTTTAGAGCTTTAATAATGGCTAAATTATACTCATTAAGCTTTGATAGTTTTTTTTCTTCTCCCCCCTACCAGACTTTGACGTCAATGCACCGCCAATAGAGATGTCAGCCTTCCCTCTGAGCGAAATCAGGATTTTATCAGAAGTTCGTGTGACTTGGCATTACCTATGGCGATGTTAGAGAGCTAGTCGTGTTGCATGACCTAAAACCCATCTGCGGGAAAACATTTGGTGAGGCTAGTCCATACTGCAAGGTTTGACTGCTGCTTTTTGTCTAGGGGACCTCGGTAAAGGACTTTTATTTACCCGTTCCCCATTACTGTAGGCTCCAAGACTGGCGCCCGCAGCCCCTGCGCTTCGGTGGTCGGAGATCCGCTAACATCATCGCATACAATGCTGGGCAGATAGGTGTTTTTTCTTTCTATAGATTTTATTTTTATATTATTATTATTAATAATATTATACAGGATAAACCAAAAAAAAATATATATATATTTTGTTATAATGTCAGTTTTCACAAACAAACATATAAACCAAACAAAAAACATCAAAGTGAAATTGTAAAAAGCCAATGCGGCAAAAGTACTCATTGAGTTCTACACTAATTGCCGTTTGTTTACATCATGGGCTTCGTTTATAATGACCCCGCGGTTACAGCGTGGTATACCGATATGTCCCCCTGCACTCCTTACAGCATCTAGGACCAATATCAATGGCGGTGCTTGGTAGTGATAATCACAGATGGCGCTGTGTACATCAATCAGTAGGAAACAAGGATCACCAGTACTCAGAAGATAACGTTCATTTATTCAAACACATATTCACATACACTATATTGCCAAAAGTTTTGGGACACCCCTCCAAATCATTTGGATTCAGATATTCCGTGAAATTTCTTTGATACTAAATATTCCACGGCCAACTGTTAGTGGCATTTTAACAAAGTGGAAGCAACTGGGAACAACAGCAACTCGGCCATGAAGTGGTAGACCACGTAAAATGACAGGAGCGGGGTCAGCGCATGCTAAAGTGCGCAGAAGTCGCCAACTGTCTGCAGAGTCAATAGCTACAGACCTCCAAACTTCGTGTGGCCTCCAGATTGGCACAACAACCGTGCATAGAGAGCTTCATGGAATGGGTTTCCATGGCCGAGCAGCTGCATCCAAGCCTTACATCACCAAGTGCAATGCATTATGGTGTGGGGTTGTTTTTCAGGGATTGGGCTTGGCCCCTTAGTTCCAGTGAAGGGAACTCTTAAGGCATCAGCATACCAAGACATTTTGGACAATTTCATGCTCCCAACTTTGTGGGAACAGTTTGGGGATGGCCCCTTCCTGTTCCAACATGACCACGCACCAGTGCACAAAACATGGTCCATAAAGACATGGATGAGCGAGTTTGGGGTGGAGGAACTTGACTGGCCTGCACAGAGTCCTGACCTCAACCCCATAGAACACCTTTGTGAAGAATTAGAGCGGAGACTGTGAGCCCGGCCTTCTCCTCCAACATCAGTACCTGACCTCACAAATGGTCCAACATTCCCATAGACACACTCCTAAACCTTGTGACGAGTTGAAGCTGTTATAGCGGCAAAGGGCGGGCCAACTCAATATTGAACCCTACGGACTAAGACTTGGATGCCATTAAAGTTCATGTGCGTGTAAAGGCCGGCGTCCCAATAATTTTGGCAATATAGTGTATATCACATAGCCCTTCAAAAGGACCCTGTGCGGTCCTGAAATGTTGGCTTTGTGATATATGTGACGATATGTTTAGGGCTGCAACAACTAATCGATAATCAATCAGAATAAACGATTCTCATAATTGATTTAATTGAGGGGGAGAGAGAAAATAGTTTGGTTTAACCTCTTGCCGTCCGCCCGTAGTAGAAAAACGGACGGACGGCACTGCTGCATTGGCGGGTTGCCGTCGCCAGACTGCATTTTTTTTCTGCCCGCGCGCGCCCCCTAGCGGGCACGCACGGGCAGAAAAGACCCGTCCAATGCGAACACCCGGTACCGGGTGTTTCACATATAGGCGATCAGCGGGTCCATAGCCCGCCGATCGCCTATATGTGCTCGTTCGCGGCATCACCCATCCCCCTGTGGACCCCAAAAGTCACCTGTGGACCCCAAAAGTCACCTGTGGACCCCAAAAGTCTTCTTTTGGGGTCCACAGGTGATATTAGGGGTCCTAGAGACCCCTAATGTCTCCATAAAGAGGACCTGTCAGTGTGCCTTTGCTATTATATAGGGGGATTGTTATCCCCCAATAAAATTCATTTCAGTACAGCGCTGCATGACGGAATAAATGTCAGTCAAAGTACCGCAGCGCTGAATACTGAAATGGCCTGGATGGGAAGGGGGTTTAACACCGCGGATGTCAACTGGTTAAAAAAAAAAAAAATCGAATAATTTAAAAAATAATCGTGCAACTAATCGATTTTATGAAAAAATATTCGTTAGCTGCAGCCCTAGATGTGTTTGAATAAATGAACACCAAATTTTGAACGTCATCTTCTGAGTGCTGGTGATCCTCGTTTCCTACCTGTGTTTAGGGTAACTGTTGCTCAAAGTCATATTTTAATACTACTATGTTTTTTTTTTTTTTAAACAAACATTATACATTCATCTGCTCTCCAGGTGAATATTTGTAGGCACCTTGCCTGCTAAGCTACTGGACTTTGTCCAACATTGTCCTCTATTAGTTCTATGCTGTCTATTCAGCAGGAGGTGCTGGAAGTTGCCCAGATGGTGTAGTCGAACAAGTGTCATCCGATATCCCGAAGCTCTCCCCGCACGCGATCAGTTGCCGGATATGACTCATTCAACATCTCGTTTTCATTCTACAGCAGAAGGGTGGTAATGCCATTTAAGCAGTTTATAATGACAAGCAAATCTCGGGGCAGCGTAAGCCACATTTGCGTCTGCTAATCGTGACCCTCTGGAGCTGGGTGTCAGTAATCATTTCCTGCGCAGGTTGGATGAAGGAAATATTCTTACATAATAGCAGTGAGGGGGAGGTGAAGCGAGGACCTCTGCTGTGAATGACTCTAAACTGCCACAGATGCCTTCTGTGGCAGTTCAGAGAGGTTACTTGGTTCACACTGAGATGGTGATTGTGAATGAACGGAGATCTCTACTGAGCCGTTGGCAAGAGAAACTCAATGCTCACTAGAGAAGTTTTGTCATGAATATGAGGAAATAAGGGAACTTGCTGGATAAAAAAATTAAATTTCTCCCCCTTTCCCTAAATTGTTCAGAGCTGCTTGACTAAGAGCACTCCGTATGCAAATAATGACTTTCAGCAAAGTATATATGTGACTGCTCAGTTTAATAGGAACCGGAGTTGGGCTTCCCTGATTACTGCACTGTTATAAAGCAAACCTGGTCAGACACGCCCCCTTGCTTACTCCGCGCATGATGAAGGGTGTCTCACTGCAATGGTTCAAAATATATATATATTCCTAGAATTCTTCTGTATCACAATCTCCTTGCAGTTTTAGGGAATTGGCAACCCTCCCTGAATGGTAGAACCTCATGCGATACCCATAGAGCTCCATCTATGCAACTTCTGCACACTTGGGCTTCCCTGACCACTGCACTGTCATAAAGCAAGCTTGCTCAGGCATGCCCTCTTGCTTCCTCCTTGCATGATGAAGGGTGTCGCACTGCAATGGTTCAGAATGCTGTATCACAATCTCCGTGCAGTTTTAGGGAATTGGCAACCCTCCCTGAATGGTAGAACCTCATGCGATACCCATAGAGCTCCTGCTATGCAACTTCTGCACACTTCCTGCTTTTCCACTAGCCAGTGAGGTGCCTCTCTAGTAGACTTGTGTGCCGGCAAAAAATGTGTTTAGTTTCGTTCAGTTTCGTAATATCCATTATTTCGTAATTCGTATCCGAAACTCAATTCGGATTCGTACGAAATACGAATTTTCGTTAGTTTCGGCACATTTTCGTAACTTTATGAACATTCGTTATGATGAAGTTAAAAAGCAAAAATACCTTTGTTAATATTGGAGTCGATGTGGTAGTTGTTTTTTTATCCGGAATACGAATTCCGTTAACGGATTCCGTATCCGAATTCCGTATTTCGGACTTTAAAAAAAACTACCACATCGACTCCAATATAAATGTACTTTGCTTTTTACCTTCAATATAATGAATGTTCGTAATGGAACGAAATTCCGTCAACTGAATTTCGTATTTCCTGCCTGTATTTGTAATGCAACTCTCAGCAGCAGAAGAGAACCTCTGATTGGTCAACCAAAACGAAATACGAATTCCGTTAACGGATTCCGTATCCGAATTCCGTATTTTTGACTTTAAAAAAAACTACCATCAACTCCAATATAAATGTACTTTGCTTTCTAACTTCAATATATAACGAATGTTCGTAACGGAACGAAAATACGTCAACGGAATTTCGTATTGCCTGTATTGTAATGCAACCCTCAGCAGCAGCGGATCCGTATTTCGGATTAAAAAAAAAATCTTGTCATGTTGTTCAACCTCATTTACAGGGGTAATATTAGTTCCTGTTTCAAAGAAATTCGGATCCGAATTTCTTTAACGGAATTTCGTATTTCGGATATAATTTGGAAACTGCCATTCGGATTTCGGATGCTCCGAAATTCGGAATTTCAGTAAAATTCGTACGAATTTCGATTCGTAACGAAACGAATCGCACATGTCTACTCTCTAGTGGCCACTGAGGCACGCCATCGGATAGTCAGACTTCTGTGGGACGTGCCCATGCACTTTTATATGGAGCCAAGTCTTTGCCTCTAGGTGTTTGTCCTAGTACAAGATATGGTTTCTCTACTTCCCTTTTACATCGTAATATTCTGTAACATTTATAGCAAGTAGTATACTATCCCATAAATATAATGTATGCATTAACAGCTGGTTTTGTTTATTCTGCCTCTAGGTAAGCAACACGTCTTCTATGAACAATTTATCCAAGTGTTAGTGTGCCACAGGAGCTGGTGGATTTCTTCTCTGAATCGTTCTTCACCGTGTGGGATCTGTGAACGACCAGAAGCCCTTATACAAACTTAAGCTATCTTTCTGGATCACCACACCAACACAACTGTCTGGGCCCCCCAGCATTGGCGGCCATGTTAAGCCTGGCTTCTAACTTGTAAAATCATCACCGCTATCATGAGTACAGAGCCACAGGTTGAGTGTTTGATCCAAAATAATGAGGACTGGTCAACCGCAGCTAGGGCGGAGGAGGAATCCCCTCCAGAAGATACATTTAACTGTGAAACGCCCGAGGAGCGCAGCTCTGAGCACCATGATGACATGGAGATGCTCTCAAACGGCAATGACTCCAGCGGTATTGACTGTAATGGGCACGTGTCTAGCGGAACCGATTCTCACGGCAACGAACCCAGGAGATCAAACTGTTCTTTCCGGAGGCCTAGCAAGTCCACCGGCAGCAGCAACAGGTAATGCTTTCATGGGTGCGTTTTTGTGATTCGACTGCCATGGAAATGTTCTATTTAAGGTGTGCTGTGGCCACTTGCATGCTTTCCGTCTTTGGCCAAAGTATCGACGGATGAACGTGAAAGCCTAAAGCTGAATTCCAGGCAAACTGTTAAACACAGTTAAAACGCATGTATGGTAGCTGTTTTACCTGTCAGAAGTATTTGTTATTCTGCCCAGCTTGTCTTGAGATTTATATAGCCCTGCTAGGCAACAGAGCCAGGTTGGTGACCTGTCCTCCTTTTTTTTTTCTCCCCTTCTGCAGTTAGGCAATACAACATAGTCATCTCCTCACCACAACCTTTGATTGGATAGTGAATGAGGAGCAGAAGACTTTTGAGCTCATCTTTCTACTTTCTTCGCTCTCTTCTTCTATCAGTTTGTTGCTTATCAGCTTATTTGCATCCTGCACACTTGACTGGCTCATAGCGCTATAGGGGGTACAGGGGATTGCAAGAGACTTATACCCCCCAAAAAATAAATAAATAAAATAAAAAAAATGTAGTATTTATTATTATTATTTTTGTTAAAAAAATACCAATAAAGCCCAATGGTCTTTTAGAAAGTTCACAGCCGGTAATGAGAGAAGGGCCTTTGTTGACCTCTTTCTGAAAATACTGGTTTCCTGTCTATCTCTGGCTTCAGTGCTTTCAAACACTCACTATTAAAAGCCGTAGGATCAGCATGATGCCCAGTATGACTGGTGTTTTCAGATAGCAAGGCCACATGGCTATAATTTATTTTCCTTTTTTAATCTTGCCAAAAAGGAGAGAGGAAAATTGTAATGCCATTTTCCCCGCACATTTGTCCAGGAGGTAATGTCTCACTTTCCTTGATGTGCTTTAGCTGCTGTATATCTCCTTTATTTTTGAAAGAAATTGTTTGCGCATAGCGGGAGATGAAACCTCTTGAATTTTATTGACTTTTTTTTTTTGTTCCCTCCCCCCCAAAGTGAACAAACGAACAAGACTCGCTCTCTCAAAGAGCTGATGAGCATGGTGCAGGAGATGAAGCGGCGCCTTCCTTCAGAAAAACCGAGCCGCAGTAAACCCAGCACAGTGGATGCGCTCAACTATGCCCTGAAGTGCGTCCGACAAGTGCAAGGTGAGAGGCGTGGATAGCGCACTTTCATTGCCATCCTTAAAGATTTAGTTACGGTTTTTGCAATGGAAGAATGAACAATGAACTGAAATCTATTTCACCTTTTGAACTGGCTAAATCAGTGGCAGGAACCATAAAAGGGTTGATTTCCATACAACATATGGCTTTAATGAAGTGTCGGTAAGCATGTGTTTACAGTCAAAAACGCAGAGGAGAAAAGGTGTAGATAGCAGGCGTCATCAGCAAGTACATTACGGGTTACCTAGTCCTGCCAGTTGCGAATACTTTAAGGCCAGGTTCACACCATTTTCCGGACCATATCTGGAAAACAGTGCATTGCGCCACGTGTTTTTGTGCTTAAAATGGTGCGTTCCAGTGTGTTTGCATTTCTGATGCTTTTCCATTAATTCTGGACCAGATAAAATGAGACCAGCAGTATTTTTTTTTGTCTAGTCTGGAACGGACTGCACTGGTGTGAACAGAGCCCAGAAATACCATAGGGATACATTGGGATGCTTTTTTTGGCCCGGGAACAAACGGTTCTGGTCCGGACATGATCCAGACATGGTGTGAACAAGCCCTAAAACATTCACATCTGAAGGGAATGCTGATACGGCTTGCTTGATGTAATTCCTCATATGCAAAGGTCAACTCTTGTGTTTTGGAATATATCCTAATGTAAACACAGTAGGAATTTTAGATTGACAGACCCCTTGGTGAAAACTCTCAACTCTCTGCAGCAGCTACTGGGCAAAAACAGAAGCTCTCCAAGTGTTTTTGTGTTTTGTTTTTTTTTCACCTCGTATATTTTAAAATTGAACTAAAAAAAAGATAAGCAAAATATATAAATAAAGCAAAATTTTCATTTATTTTTTTATACTTTTAAAATGTGAACGCTGACGGTAAAGCTTATGTGTATGTTGTGCCAATTTTAAGTTCCGTAGCTGCTAGCAACCGGTATTTTTTATTTTTTTTGCAAGGCCATGGCTTGTTAGTATCCTGTTTTATAATTTTATCTTGGCAAATCCCATTTGTTTGTTCACAGTCCCCGATGGAAATAATGCTTTTTTACCAAAATGGAATGTCTTCTTCTTTTTCAGCGAACAGTGAGTTTTTTCAGGTCTTCGCCGACAGCGGAACCTCGCGTTTGGATACCACTGTACATACGATTGAAGATCTGCAAACCCTGACATCAAAGCATCCACCAAAAAACACGGTATGTGTCATGGCCAGTATGGCTAGTAAGGGTTATCACCCTAAGACAGGAACTGCATTACTGGCAGGATCACCAGCTGAAATAAAGTGGGGAAAAAAAGAAAAACCGATGCAGCCATCGCATCCAGGGACTA